GGGGTGAAAAGCAGTATGTGCAGAGACTCAGGAAAGTCAGCTGCACGCCTGAGGAGTCTTGCACAGCTATAGGAAGATGAATAAATGGTGAAAGGAAGAAAGGGACAGACTGTCATAGGAGGGCAGAGCACACATGCCAGGCAGTCACTGAGTAGCAAAGTTCAGGAACAGCATCGACAGGTTTGGTTTTTGCAGAAGGTGTATGTGTGTGTGTGAATCCATAGGAGGGAGAACATTTAAAAGATGACTTCAATAGGTTCCACAAGAGCCAATGATACTAAAATAAGGCAGCAGGATTGGGCACGAAGACAAAACAGGTGTACGACTGGAAACTAAGGGTCTACTTTCCTAGAATTCTGCTTCTGCTTTAGCATCACTTCCACGGAAGCACCTTATTTGAGGAGGAGAAAAGCAAAGGGGAGTGCTTTCAGTGTTCTCCTCCCCCTCTTCCCTTCTCTCTCTCTTTCTTTCTGGCATGGGTAACCAGAAAGCAGACCATGCTGTATCTCCTAGTTCTCCTCACCTCTGAATCAGAATTATTTAGGTCAGATCTTTATCCTTAGTAGCTACAGGCTTGAACCTAAAATGAAGGAAGCTGGACCATTCCAAGACCCACTCCTATAGGAGATGCTTTGTCCCACTGGCCAGCTTGACCTGCTCCACAGAGCCCACAGCACACATTGAGAGATGAAGGAACTCCCTTGGGGGAGAGACACTGCTACTGTGAGAAAACAGGAGTACGTGCCAGGCAGTCAGAAGCTTGGTGCTCCACCGAGGTCCTCTTTCCCACTGACAAGCATTTTCTGAAGCTCCTCCCTGAATCCAATTTGTTTTCTGACTGCACGGCTGGAGAAAGGTGGTCTAATGGCAATGCTCAATCCCAACACCAGTCCACAGAGAGGCCTCCCTAGCCCAGTTTCCGAGAGGCTGTGATCAAGGAACTAGTTTGCTCAAGGGCAACAATGTGGCAAAGGTAGGCACAGAAATACTGGACCATCCTGTCCCATTCCACCGCCTGTTCTAACCAAAGCTGGATAATAAATGCTTCCCAGGGCACACCAGGTCCCCTCTGCCCTCTTCCCACCTGAAAATATACTGTGGCCTCCTCTTCCTCTTCCTTTCCCTCAGCTCTGGACTTGGAATGTCTCTCTTGACATTTTTTTCCTCTTGACTTGTCATCACATAAATCCAGTTGAATGCCTCACTCATATATTTCCTCATTATCTTGTGTGTCATTTTCCTAGAAGACACACTATTTTATAATAATTTGGTTTCTAATGTATTTCTGATAAACTAAGTTTCTTGAGGTCAAGGTGACTGTTTCAGTCTACACACTTAACACAGAGATGTGGGACATGGTGAGGTTAAGGTTATTGAAAAATGTTTTAAAGATCAAAATTTTATATCATGGTGACTTTTCATAATTTCTTTTGTTATCTTTAAAAACATATATGAAAAGGAATGAAATAAATACAATGAATGAAATGCCTCTTAGAATTTACTTCTAAGAAAAAACTTCTCTTAGATGAACATGATAGTATTCCTTCTTTTTGTCAGAAGACCAGAACACTAGCCACCATCATTCCATTAATACGTCAGCAGCAGGAAACTCAGGATAAGCCTCTTGCTTATGACCAAGCTCCTTAGGGAGAAATGTTTCTTTTGCCAAATGTGCCCACAGCTGGCTCAGAGTGGAGGCAGAATGACTTCTCAGAACCCACCTGTCCTAGTTTGCTTTCTGTTGCTGTGATAAATACCACAACCAAAAGCAACTTGAGGAGAAAAGTCTATTTGGCTTCCATTTCCGATAACAGTCCATCACTGAGGGAGGTCAGGGCAGACACTGTGGAGGAAAGCTGCTTACTGGCTTGTTCCCAGGCTCACACCCAGCTGTTTTTCTTATATAGTCCAGGCCTCCTGCCCAGGGAGGATACATCCACCCACAGTGGGCTGGACCCTCTTACGTCAATTAGCAAACAAGACAATGTCCCCCAGACATGCCAACCAGCCAATCTGATGAAGGAAATTCCTCAACTGAGATTCCTGTTTCTCAGGTGTGTCAAATTGACAACATCCACCACCCTGATGCCTATGCTTCTCTGTATGTTCTCTGATTCCTATTTTATATATTTCATAAATACAGATGATTTTCTCATCCTGTTTAGATCATCATAGATGTCATTGCCTTATGAAAGAAGCAATTGTCACCTCAAGTTAGTTTAAGGATTTTAGAAGATGTCCAGTGATGGTGATGGTGATGATGATGGCAAAGATGTAATAATTCCTTTGTGAGCAGCACTAATCTAAATGCTATCCACATATTTACTCATTGGAATACCATAACAACCGATATGGCAGGATACAAATATCATCATCATCCTAATGATACAGGTAAGAACTGAGACAGTGAGAAGGAAGTTAACTTCCCCCAAAGATCACACAACTAAAAAAGTCACAGGCTAGGACTTCAACCTACATATTCTGGTCTACATTGCATGTTCTTAACCATGTAAGTATACAGAGAGAAATGATACTAGGATGGCTAGAGCCAAAAAGTACCTGGGTGCTTTCGAAGAACACAATTATTTATTAAAGTATAACTTTACATCTTTTTATTCTCATTAGACTCATTACCATAGATTATAATCAACACTCTTTGAGTAACAGTATCCCATTGAAAGACCACACAACAGTGAAAAGTGTGGGCTGTCAGGCTAGTCAGCTATACTCAAATTCCCACTCCAGTGCAACGTGGTTGACCACAGGGCCCACAGTTTCTTTAGTGAGCATGCCTATGCCACACCCTTTCTGTGAAGGGTCCTCCAACGCCACGCTAAAACATGGGGTGTGGGTGTGAGTTTACTCCTGACCAGGGCAACCATCTCCACCAGGGACCTGATTTGGCCTGAAGGAACTACAGTATTTCACCCCAGGTAAAGGGATGGACACAGGACCTCACAGGGCCCGAGTCACCCATGGCCCTTTGCTAACTGAAACAGGGAGGCATATTTCCTTGGCATTCTCAAAGCTGTGAGGATTTAGGCTTGAAGCTGGCAGTAGTCTCAGTACCAGCGTATCAAAGAATGAAGCCAACCTAGGCACAGACTGGTATCGGCTGTCCCCTGCCCAAGTCAATGTTAGCAAGAAGAGCCAATGAATCACTGTAGAGGGAGAAAATGAATGAAGCTGGGTGTCTGTTACTTTCAACCAGACAAGTCCAAGCTTTAACTCTCTGCAACCCTCTTTCTTCATGGGGAAAGTAAAACAGGCCTTCCTTCTCAAGCAGAGAATCCAGTCCTGCCTCACCCTGCTTGGCCTCAGTAGCCTTCTGGGACCTTGGCACAAGCCTCTATGAACCCCTTCACTCTTGTATCTTTCATTCCTGCAAAACCAATACCTTGCTGACAACAATGCCAAGTTCTGCTGCCAGCTGAAAATGTAGTGTAGCTCCCTTGGACTAAAGCTGTAGTGGCTGCTTTGTGCCTAGGTGGTTGTTTCCCAACAGTGAACTCCTTCATCCACATTCCTAGTTCAGCATCTCTCCTCAAATGAATTTTCAGTTTTATAACATGCAGCCTTCAATGGGTGGTGTCTTCCCCTCAGGGCACCTCTCCTATTTTTCCACTCAAGACAGTCAGTTTTCTCTTTAATGGTGCGCATTTGTTTTTAAGCAATTGCAGATGCTTTGTCTGTAGTCTCCTGGTTTGCAGCTTTCAACTTGCTCACTCACCTTTCCTCCCCAAGCTTCACATTTTTCTTGTATTTTGGTTTTCTCTCAGTGTAGATCTGATAAGATCATGGAGCAGTTAGCCATGACACACACCTGAAAGATATAGTGCCCTGAATTTCCTCTCACAAACAAATCAATGCATTTACTTTTTAATTCAGTTTCATTCACGTTCTCAGGACTGGCAGAATGCTGCCAGATCTGTTTGGAATTCAAATGGCCTACAGCTTATACAGCCTTTCCAATAGAGTCCTGTTCCCCTCTGAAACTTGTTTTCTCTATGAATCTAAACTCCCAGCAGAATGGTCTATTAAGCTCTCTTACAGCATTTGAGGACTCTTCTACCCAAAGTTTTAAATGTTTCTATATTTCTCCTTCCAAAGGTCTATAAACCACATGGTCAGGATTATCACCAATTTTCTGTATTAGTTACTTTTCTCATTGCTTTGACAAAATACTTGGCAAAAGTAAGTTAAGGAAGGACTGGTTTATTCTGGCTCACAGTTAAGGGAATGGTTGATCCTGGAAGGGAAGTCATGGTGGCAGGATGAGGCAGCTGGTCACATTGTCCATATTGAGGAAGCAGAGAATTATGAATGTTGGTGCTTGGCCTACATTCTCCTTTTATTCAGTCCAGGAACTGAGCCCATGGAATGGTGTGGCCTGTAACTAGAGTGAGTCTTTTCACCTTAATTAACTGAAACTAGAAATTCTCTTTTATAGCCATTCCCAGAGGTTTGTCTCCTAGGTGAGTCTAGAACCCTGCCAAGCTGACAACACTAATCATCATCACACAGCACATTTCCCACTCCATTAATAAGTGAGCTGGAGAAAGCAGTATGTTCTAGTGGCATTTCTTCTCATCCTGGGCCTTGACCTCACCCTGGTGTTGCTCTGTCTTCTCCTACTCTGCTTCCATCATTTGCTTCTTGCTTTTTCTTGAACAGCCACCAGATTCCCACCTCCTTTCACAAATCTCAAACCTTATTCCCCACTTCCTTTAGGTCTTTGCTCAAGGACAGACTTCTCTGTAAGGCAGTCCCTGAACACTGTTTAAAATCACAGACTTCATACTGTCGTGTATTCTAAAATTGTCTGTCTCAACAAGGGGTTTGACTGCTTTGTCTATGATTGATCCCAACACATAGCAATCACAGAATCAACATTTCCTCAGTGAATGGATGAACATGCCCTTAATCCCTTTTCTGGAGGTGAAGGGGTCTGATAGGGGCTGTGGTAGTAAACTATCACATGAAGACCCTTTTGCACTTACTTGGCACAGTGTACCCAGTGTGTGTGTCGGTACAAGGAGTACATGAAGCGCTGGTGGTACATGTTCCAAACTTTGATGGATTTGTCTTCGGAAGCTGTGACTAGAAACTGGCCATCACCTGAAAAGTCCACACTTCGAACTGGAGCGGTATGAGCTTTAAATTCTGAGGACTTCCCTTTCCTGGAAATAAACAGTTTAATATTAATAAATTACTTGATTTTAATATTTAATCACAACACATATTTCAAAACATAAATGGCTTGATGCTTGCAAAACCCTGAAAAAGTCTGAGAAGGTGAGAAGGCCACGCTGTACCATATTCCTCAATACCATTCCATACTGGTTTGGTTCATGAAAGTCACACCTGATACTTAACAAGAAACATGCTGGTTGTCCCCACCCTCGAAAAAAACATTTGCTGCTTTTGTCTTAATGGGAAGCTAGGAAATTAATATTTGGGACCAATCTCTACACTGCACTTTAGGTTCCTTTAGAAATAGCAATCTGGGGCTGGAGAGATGGCTCAGTGGTTAAGAACATTGGTTGTTCTTTCAGAAGACCTGGGTTGCACTTGCATACATGCAGAAAATACAGTCACACACATAAAATTTAAAAAAAAGAGAGATGGCTCAGTGGTTAAGAACATTGGTTGTTCTTTCAGAAGACCTGGGTTCGAATCCCAGCACCCACATGGCAGCTAACAACTGTCTGTAACTCCAGTTCTAGGGGATCTGACAGCCTCTTCTGTCCTCCATGGGCAATGCATGACAGTGGTGCACTTACCTACATGCAGGCCATACACGCATACAAATAAAAAAAATAAATAAATAAACAAAAATAAATAGCAATCTGTAGCTTAAAGAAGTTTCAATCAAGAAAAGTTAAGATTAAGTGAATGTCTTCAAGGTGATGTTTTAAAACTGTTTGGAACTCTGTGGACTGATGGGCTGGGCTAGGAGGACGAGGATCCTCTGCATCTGAGAATGTCTCTAGGTAATCTCTCTCTCCCCTTTTCCTGGAGTTTATACTGACAACCAGAACTGAGGACATGGTGTGTACCTACTGCCTTGCCAGCCTCATGGACCCAATTGTACACTCACAAGCAGAACAGAGGAAAAATGCTTTGTAACTTCACACACATATTTTTTCTTGGTTAGGGAAAGAGAAAAGATGATAGAGAGGTGGTGCAAATAATGTGAGGTATTTGAGGTAAAGCAGCAGAAAATGTGTTAAAACAGAAGTGGATTGGCAACTTTCTCTTGAGAAGCCCTCACTCACACCTGGGTATGTACTACCTTTTTTCCTAAGCACCTCTCTTCTATTAAGTCCATGTTAAAAATCTCTTAATAAACTTCAGCTCTGCTTCATTAAAAGAAGCAAGCTAAATGGTGTCAGAGTTCCAAGGTGAACACAGGGAAACTGTTCCAGAGTTCTTAGTTCTCAAGGCATTATCATTTATACTATAATCAGAACTTGGTCATTTTTCCATTTAGAAAATGCCTTTCCTACTAGTATATAGTGAAAATTGCCACAATGTTTGAAAAAGATCAGCCAACAGAATGTAGCCAGGTATAGACATCTGTCTTAGCTTCTCTAATGTTCACACCGACATCCATGCACCTGTACCACATCCGGTATTTGCTTAGTTGGTTGGAACAACATCCACCTGTCTACAAGTCGGAGCCTGGAAGTCACAAGTGGTTCTTCCTCCTTGCTCTCCTCCCACATACAGTAAGTCAATAAACCCCGTGGCTCCCCCTTCCTCCACATCCTCTGAATACCTCCCTAGTTTCTATCTCAGTGCTGCTTGCCTTCAAGCACAAGATCCCCAACATCCTCCACCTGGATCATTGCAAAAGCCTCTTAACCAGCCTCCCTGCTCTAATCCTTTATACCTCCCTCCACTTACCTACATATGGTGCTTATCATTTTGCTGAAAAGGTAATACCAAACATAAATCCCAGTGTAAATGTGTCACTGGCTCCCTTAACAACGCCCCAAGTTCTTTGGCAGGACATCCTGCCAGTGAGCTAAACTTTGAACCTTAGAGCAGTCACAGTGCTGCAAACACACCTGTGCCTCTATACTTACTTAGGATAATTATTTCCCATCTGCAGAGCCTGACCAAACCACACCAGCTCAAAACTGCTCCCGGATCTGCTAGAAGGATCTGACTTTGCATCTTATCATGACTATAATAAAACAGTCTTCTTTCTCTCCTAAGAAGTGTTCTGAGGACAGGAAGGGTCTATTTATTTCTCTAAGACCAACATTTAACATGTGTCAGGTATACAGAAACAGTTCAATACTGTCTGTTGAACTTCACTGGGAAGAATCAATACGTTAAAGCTTCTTAAATACAATCTGGCTTGCCCTTCCAGTGGCCCATAAAGCACAAAGGTGACTTTATCATTGATTTCCATTATCTGGCATATGATAATACATCTGTAATAATAGAAATTAGTATGAAAATTTAGGCAGGAATATTCAGGGACAACTTTAGTGAGTTTTCAAAGGAAAGTTGTGAGTAGAAATAGGGAGTGCAGCCGGGCCTGCATTCATTCAGGCATAAGTCTTAGAGACAACAAAGACAAGAATTGTCATCTGCTGAGACCAGACGCCTAGAGCCAGCCAGTCAGCCCCACGAAAACCTGCCCCGGTGCTCAGTGCTGCACTCCTTGAAGACCATTGTACTACTCAGCTTGTGCTCTTCCTGAGGGCCTTCTCTTGGCTGCAGGCTGGCCTACACTGGATCCTGTCTCCACAGGAAGCACAGCAGAAGGCAAGGCAGGAGTGCTCTGGTGCTCCATGTTTGCTGGGTTGGTCCTCACTAGTTGTGATTCCTTTTGAATCTGGACTGGTTCTCTGGCTTATCCTGATGAGATATGACAATGCAGATTGTGGCAGGCCTAGTCGATAAAAGGTCCAGCAGCTCTGGCTCTGAAAATCCTGGAACCCATATGAATGTCTAGGCTATCATACTGGAAGAGAAGGCATAAGGACACCAAGGTCCCAGGCACCAGCCTTATGAGGGACTTATGCAGTGATAGATAATTAACCACTGACATATCAATACCCTATTGCCATGATCCACCATTACACTGGCCCACCATGATATTATTTAGAAAGAGAAACCAGGCTGCACAAACACTATGCAGATATCTATGACAAGCTAATGATTCATGGTTTTAGCTCACCTATCTTACACATTTTGTTTCCTGACATTTCCTTGAATCAGAAATAGGAGACAGGCTATGTGATTAAACCACAAACTAGACTTAAATTCCCAAAGCTGAGGATGTCAAAGCGCGCTTCTCCTCTTAAACTCCAAACCAATCTCTTCCTCCTCTGAGTCTCCCTTCCACATTAGCATCGAAACATGTCAGTTCTCTTCAACAGTTTCTAACTTCTCTCAGGATAATATTCAAATTTCTCAAAACAAGGTTTCCTTTGGGTAGTGGCAGATAGTGCCTGGGCCTATCTGTTCAAACACAACAAAACAAATCATGCCACAATAGAGTCAAGGGAAATATCCATGTTCCTATCTTCTGACAGGATGCAGAGAATGACAGGACATATGGGATTTGTTCTAAAAATACTCCATGGGGGGGTAGATATATGATATGAAGACGTCAGAACATTGGTAACTGCTGAGGCTGCTGGTAAGTACAAGTAGGGAAGTTGTGCTATTCATTTTTCATGTTTGAAATTTTATATAATTAAATTTTAAAACTTAAAAGAATCATGACTCCATAATTGTTTAAGATAAGACTATCAGCTGGGGTTTGAAGAGTCTCTCTCATGTTTTGATTGTTAGCCTTAGCCTTTAACAGCTGTACCATCTCTCCAGCCCAAAGAGTCTCTTATAGAAAGCATTGTTATAACAAGATATTACCTTAGCAAATGCAATGACATATATATTTTTTTGCAGAAATTTTATTCAACAAGAAAATTCTAGCACTCCCAAATAACAATTAAAGAATAATCCAAGTACAAGAGAGCTCAGCAGGGTTCCCAGGCTCCCTATAAAGACCCATGAATGAGCACTAGGAGGCTAATAAAACTAAACTTTTGATACATGCCACTGTATTTCTTTCTGGTAAGAAAAAACTCTTACATCAGACTTACAA